ACAGGCCAGAAAGCATTGCGCAAAGTCGGACTAACGATGTTGAAATAGCCTTTCGATCTTCCACCGTGGCACGCAATCCAGCGGTTGAAGTGACAGTGGCTCACAGAGAGTTCCGGGGGGGTCGTTGGATCCAGAAGGCGGCACACATCTGGGGGCGGGCGACCATTCCGTTCCGCTCTGGCGAGCAGCAAGCCAGGTTAATCAGAACTCAGAACAGCTAGTTAGGCTTAAGCCCTGGTTAAGGTTTGAACTTGAAGTTGCAAGGCAGCCTGGCAAGCTTCCCTAGCTGCGTCTTTGTTTTGGCATGAGAAGGAGCTCTGACAGGTACCAACCGAAGCATGGCGTCTGGCCCGGTTGAAGCTGCGGGAGCCGCAGCCTATGATCCAAGAAGTGAGGACGAAGTTTGTGCAACAGATTTGGCAGCCTGGTGTCACAGCCAAGTAACGCCACCTCCAGACTGGAAGGACAAAAAGTCACTGCCCCCTTGGATAATCCCTGAAATAAACCCCAAGAAAGGGCCATCAAAAGGTCAGGCTCCTGACCCTAGGTACTGGCCTAACATGAAAAGGGAGTACCCAAACGCTGTGCAAGCTAGTAGGGGCCAAGATTTTCTGCACCCCAATCACTTCCATCTGGCTGGCAAAGTTGTCTACTTTGTTTTCTGGCAATTCTTCTTTGGGGAGCTAATCCCCATCATCTGCTGCCCCAAGTGTGAGAGTGCTGACAGGGTCTGTGGTGACGGCTGGTCTCTAGACAAGATGAGGAGAGTGTGTAGTGCGAACGCGCCCGCTTTCCTATTCAGCAAGGTCTTCCGGTGTGGGAAGGGCAAGAAGGTGGGAGAGGGTTGCCCAGGTGAGTTTGTCATGTACTCTCTTTTGCACGGTGTCTTGTCGACTTTGCCACATTCTGAAGTATGCATGATAGCGCTGGCCCTGCAGAAACTTACATGTTGGTCGTGTTGGCTTCTCTGATGGTGAAAATATCATTGGCATGTTGACACAGTTTTCTGTCTTGCTTTGTAGCTGCACATTGCAGTGTCAATATTGTCCTGACAATCACAAAGCTTCAAAGTTTGCCATCTGATTTGCAAGCACAACTATGAATATCTGCATCCGTTCTGCTGAAGTGGCAATCTGCTTCTCATGTGGTTGCTCGTCTTGCAGCAAATGGTGGCAAGGCCTACCAGTTCCGCTCTCATGATGAGGGCGTGCTGGACCAGATTCGGCGCAAGCAACCAGCTGTCTTGGAGCAGCTCGCAATCGTTTTCACCCGAGGGGGAGCTATCGAGCGCAGTCTTCTTGACACCATGGTTCGCAATGTTGTAAGCGGGGCGTCTCTGGCCGATCAGCAAAAGATGGTGCGCGAGGCGCACATGCGCACTTTTGTCCAGCACAAAGCCACATACATCCAGTACGCTGCAGCAAGAGTCAAACTCCGACAGCAGCAGAGCGGGGCACTTCTTTTCCCCGGAGTTGCTCAGCCAACCCCTCCGGCCCCTGCTGATTTTGGAGAGTATGGGGACAGGGCGGGATACCGGGGCTGGATTCCTTCAACGTCCTGGCTAGCAGGTTAGTCAAAACAAGTTGGGGAAGCTTGTACCTACATCGACTTGGAACGTGCGGCGCGCTCCAGAGCGTCGCAAGTTGAGCGCACCTGAAGCATGTTGCTATATGTTGCTGCCGTTGTTGCAACAATTCCTGTTGTCAAAAACCTAGGTTGCAAGGACTTCATTTGTAGGCAACTTCTTATGAGCACTGATTGGATTCTGCAGACTTTTTGGGACCACGCTGTGACTTGTTTGAGCATTTAACAAGAGTCCAACGGGCAATCAAACATTCTGGACAATTTCTTCCAGTCACTATTCGGTCAAATGGTTTGGTTGAACCTGGAACCTGAAAAAAGAACGCTGATCAGATTATCTGTTACAGTTTGGCATGGGCACCCTTTGGCTTGCTGCTGGTCTCTAAGTAATGTGCACTCCCAAGTCAGCTTTTCGAACCTGCAAATCTGGGTGCCTAGCAATGTGAGGTGATCTGTTACTGCAAGCCCAACCTCATATGGGCTTTTCTCTAATACAGGTGTCATCCTTGCGTCCCTCACTGGGCGGCTTGCGTTTCTTGAGCGCCACCTCGCTGCGGTGGATGGGGTTTTCTGGCGGGGAGATCATACCTTCCAAGCAGCCTCTCGAATTCGATCAGCTGACGGGCGCAAAGACTATGCAGCCATCTACTCGGTGATGAACGAGTGGTCGCAGATCGTCGGGCAGTGGGCTGTGGGGGACACCTCATTTGACGAGTATGCTGTGGGCCTGCGGGATGTCCTCAAACGTTACGATGACCATGGGTTTCAGGTGCGCTCAATATCACCCTTTAAGAAGAATGCTTGAATTGGGCGGGTCTGTCTTGTTCGCGACAACTCTTGAAAGGCTGATGCGTTGAAGCAGTGCTCCTTTTGATGTACATACGAGAATCATGCTGAGTACCTATTTCATTCCCTGCCAAGTTAGGCCGTAGTACTCTGAAGAACGAGAGGTGCAACGGAAGAACAGAGCACCAAAACCTGCCCAATATGCCCTGAGGAACTTTATATTGGTGTTATCCTACGCACGTCTCTAGATCTTGCCACTTTGCCAAGTTTGTTTTACTGGATTCAGTCATTCTGGTCACAGCTGCCCAAGTTCATGTGGGTCGACAACTCCCGAACGGTCGCCGCCCAGCTGTACGGTGCCATACCCAGTCTCAGCTGGGTTCTGGAAGATGCCACCCACGTCATGCGTCGGGTTTTTGAGACCATTCCGGATGCCCACTCTCTCAAAGGTAGGAGTATCGTGTCAGCTTGTTGTTGGGCAATGGTTCAAGTGCTGAGGACGCATGCAAAACCCCCTCACTTTGATTCGAGTGTGCTTTCCCCTTGTGTTTCTTCTGCTCTTCATGAAGTCTAGACCGAGGGTTATTTGAAGACGGTGGAACCTGCACTGGCTGGTTGTCAGTACTGACTGTATTGTATGCACTTCCGGATTCAAATTTTGTCTTCGCATCATGTGAAAGCTTTTGCCTTCTTGGGTTGCACGAACACAGCGCGCAACGCATGTTACTGGAGCCCATTGTGTGAACCAACAGAAGATTGGTCTAACAAAGAGCTTGTTCTTCTTATACAGCTGACTTTTGTCGGGACTACTCGGGCGCGATGTTCAAGATCCACCAGCCGGACAAGTGGGCTTTGCGCGAGTTTCTCCTGGAAGGAGGTCCGGGAAGGCGAAAGTGGACACAAGCTGAGGTGGCAGCTAAGCCTGGGAGCTACTGGCGAGCGCGCTGCCGGCACACCATCCCTGCCCCGCACGAGCTTGCCAGTGGGGTTGAAGCGGTGATGAAGAAGTATGAGCGAGGAGTGTGCGCCATCAACGGTGATCCCCTCATCACCGATGAAGTCCAGCGCGTGCACAACCTGCAGCTGCAGCTCATGCAGGAGGGCTTGCTTAGTGGTAAGCTTTTCAAAGTGCCCTAAGGACTCTGTCTGTTCGACTTTGTGCTCGGAACCTGATTGCGTTTCTAGCTGCCTGACTGTGTTTTAGCTAAAAGCTTGTAGCTCGTGCTTGTTCAACTTCAGTGGGTGACTCAGTTGCGGAGTGACGCTGAGGTTCGTTCTGTTGCCGCCAGAGGGCACATGTCCGCTCTTCGTATTGACGCCGGAGTAACGATTAAGCAAGCTTGCAACGCTCATGTAATGCTACAGTTGGAAAACTTAAAAGGACATGCATATCTTACAATCTTTTCGCCACTTGCAGATCCGCTCAACGTGGACGAGATGTACATCCGGATCAACGCCCCCGGCTGTATGCCCCGCTACATCGGTGTGCGGGGCTGCTCCTCGCTAGAGGGCTATCACCGACACCTGAACGCGCTGCTGGACGGGGAAAACTACTCCCCGGAGCTTGCGGGGGCTCTTATTGCCTTGTTCAATTACCGCTGGAATTACGAGTGCGCCGTCCGCAGCAAGGGGGCAAGAGACTGGGGAATGTTCGACCACTGGCTGCTGGAGGAGATGCAGGACACGTGCGCAGCGATGGGGTGGCCAAACCCCTGTCCTGAGTGGCGGCGCGCTCCGGCTACTCAGGAGCGCTTCGGCGTCCATGCGGCCCCCGCCGTGCTGAGGACAGGGGTGTCGCAGCGCGATGAGGAGGACGAAGCCGGTTTCCTCGATCAGGAGGCTGTGTTCGTCGAGAATCTTCTCAACGAGCAAGAATCAAAAAGCAAGCAGGCTGCTAGTGAGCTGCCCACCATTCAATCAACCTTCTGAGAGCGGAAAGAGGAGGCTCGAGAGGAGAGTTGTTACTTCTTTTTGATGGGGAAGAGCTGGTATGGTCCTTGCTTGATCATCAAGTATCTCTAGGGCGAAGTGATAATCCAGAAAAGAGGTTTGGGCTTTGAACGGGGTGCTCATTTTCTGTTCACAGTGTCCATACTGTGATAGCAGGCTGCTCTACCAAAGTTGATATCACGTTGATAAGCAGCTTAGCATATGTAAACCCAAAAGATCTTGGTATAATTGCCTCAGAATGTAGTGTGTTGTACAATCATCTGCATCATTGCTTACGACTGAGTGTAAAATTGACCAGGACGGAATACTGTCATTTGCAGGCTCGGTTCTCTCTTCGCCCACTTCCCCTCAGGACGGACAGCCTGCGCTTGTGCCTGATGCGCAGCAGGGGGGCCAGTCCGTACCTTCGCTCCCCCCCCAGCACGACGGACAACCTGCACTCGTGCGCCCCGCATACCAGGACGGGCTGCCTGCAGTTGAGTTGCCCCCCCGCCAGGATGGACGGCCTACGCTCGCGCGCGGTGCCGTGCAGCAAGAGGGGCAGCGCCTGCGTTCGCCCCCCCCGCGCGAGGACGGACGGCCTGCGTTCGTGCGTGCCGCACAGCAGGACGGGCTGCCAGGGGGGCAGTCCGCCCCTCTCTCCGAACCCTTCGACAACAGGGCGCCTCCGAACCTGCGCGCCACGCCGCAGCCAGGGGGGAAGTCCGCCCCTCTCTTCGAACCCCCCCCCAACAGGGCGCCTCCGAACGTCCGCGCCGCGCCGCAGCCAGGGGGGCAGCCGGCCTCTTCCTTTCCTCCCCCGCCGAACGGGCAGCCTCCCAACTTCAGCGCCGCGTCGAAGCCGGGGGGCCAGCCTGCCTCTCACATCGCCCCCCCTCAAAACGGGCAGCCTCCCTGCGTCCGTGCCGCGCCACAGCCGGGGATTCAGCCGGCCTCTTTCTCCCCCCCCCCGCGAACGGGCAGCCTTCCCACGTCAGTGCCTCGCCACAGCAGGGGGGTCAGCCCGCTCCTCGCCCCCCCCACACTCCAAACATTTGGCCTCCAGTTGCACCGGCTGCAGCGCCATGGGGAGGGCTTCCCAATCAGTTCCCCCCCTCCTCCTCGGGCGCACCACCTCCAATCGAGCCCGCTGCTCGGCAACCACTTGGGGAACACCTTGGAGGAAGTGCGCCACCGCTTTGGGGCCAGCCTGTGGCCACTCCTCACTTACACGGCCCACTTCCCAAGGTCGTGTACGGCTCATCGCAACTAGGAGGAGAGTCAGTTGCCGCTCGGGGACTCCGCCATGAGAAGCTTGGTAAGACATTGTTCTTTCAAGTTTTCTTGTGCGGCTGCAAGAGGTTCTAGATAGCTCCATATATTACAAATTCTACTCGAATTGAAGGCTGATGCGCACAAACTGTAGGTGCTGGAACATTGGATTCGTGTCGGCAACCATGTTAGTGTGGGCTTTCCTGTTCCTTTCGAAGGTTGCATATGAACCACGTTTTGCAATCTGCAGCGTCAAAGAGAAGGCGGGTCGACCGAGGAGAGTCTGCCCCGTTTGGCCCTACATCAGGTGAGATCTTGACTGTCGTCAACTTATACAAGTCGATTTTTGACTTTGTTCAAATCATCGCAAGTACGTTTGACTTCGTCAAGGCTCGAATTGTTGCACAGGAAACTGGTCAAAGCACTTGACTGAACAAGTAAGTATCCTTGTTTGTGTAAGTCATTGAAGATTGAAGCACTTGCATGGATCTCCGACAAGTGGAAATGCAGATTTGTGTATCTGAAGCTCAATTGACAATACGACTTACGCTTTTCTCAGGTCCAGCGGACTTCTGTGGATCTTTCTATGCCCCCGGAGGAGGGACGCAGCCGGGCTCTTCATCAGGTGATTAAGAAGCTTTTGGTTCTTAGAGTCTGATTGAATTTAGATTCTTCATTGCCTCGGATTCTTCATTGCTCCGTGTGGCCTTCGATCATAATCCATTTTTGAAGACTGAAGGACCTCTACGAGTTTGGTTTGTACACCTGGCAGTAACACTTGACTCTTGGCAGTATCTATTTGAGAAGCAATTGTCGAGCTTGTGTTTGAAAGACTGATTGGTGTACCTTGAAAAGCACTTGTCGGAAGTTTGTCGAGGGTTTGTCGAGCTTGTATCTGAAACACTGATTGCAATACTTGAAGCTGGAAATTTTTTGATATCGTTTATGTTTCCGTTCAGAGACGGGAGAACTCACCGGGCAGTCTGGTGAGAACGTGCATCAACGGTCTTCGAACCAGGCTGTTCAAGAGGTGAAAAGACACGGGCGACTTCCATTCATCAAAAAGCGGGGCGTGAGACGGCCAGCGCTTCGCGAATTGACTCGTCCGGTCTCGACCCCTGCGGAGATCCGGCTGTTTTCCGAGCTCTATTCCAGGCACTCTGCCAAATCGTCTACGAACTGGGTCAATATGTGTCACGAGTGGAATCAAAGGGCAGCTTTGACGGTCTCTCAGATCTCTGGGGCGGACAACGCGATCCATCAGAAAAGCATCTCTCATCTGAAGCAGTACGAGAAGGGCCTCGTCAAAGAGTTTATCCGGAAAGACCCACTCAACGCTCTTCTCGCTCACAATTCCCTCTCTTTGCAGCATCCAAATGCTGCACCTTCGACCACCATGTACCCGTTCGCTACTGGTGGCGTTCATTTTCATCCCTCCACTCCACTCTATAACCCCTTTTTCGCACCCACTGCATACTCACCTTTTGCAGCCGTGCCCATGGGGGCCGGTAGTGCACACCCCTCCTTCCACCCATCGTTCACTATCACAGCGTCACAGGTTCCCAGTGGTCAGTCGCTCTCTTCTCGACCGATCAAGAATAATAGGGGCGGCAAGGGTGTCAAGAAGCGTTGTAGAAAGCAACCTGGTTGCGGCCAGCTCATAGGACAGTGTAGATGTCCAAAATCTTGAATTGTATTTATGTACCATAAACAAGATATTCATAGCAAGGCCAAGTGGTTTGACATAGTATAGCACGTAGCATGGTTTTTGTTGTAAATGTGATTGTAGAGCTTAAACTTCGATAGCCGTTATGAAGGATTGACTAGGAGGTGACTAGATTTCAACCCCATTTCAATAAAGAATCCCTGTTAAGAAAAATCAAATATTGCGTAATTGCGCTTGCCTAGCTTTACATATATTACATTGTTATATTTGCAAGCACCATGGTTTAACATTTCAGATACAGGAATGAATAAACAAACGGCCCCCTAAGTGTGTCCAAGCAATACGTATGTTTAATAATATAGCATGCATACTTTATGCATGGCCCGGGCAGTGCAATCGACTGCTCATTGCATGGTTTTGCGTTAGCGCGGCGCGCCAGCGGTCGGGCGGCCGGGGATTGCTACTAGTAGCGTGCTCGGCGCGCGTACACGCGCGCGCGCTGAATTCTGAATTACAAGGCCATTTTCGGGGGTCGTTCCGACCCCCCAGGCCCCGGGGCTTCGCCCCGCAGGACCCCGTGGGGCCGCCTTCGGCGACCCCGACCCCCCATTTTCGCTCAAAAAAACGCCCCGACCTGTACAATATTTTTTGACCCAGGCAGCACCGTGACTGCCCGGCCGGCGAGCTTGGCGCGAACAGGCAGCTCCGAGTCGGAATTCAAGTGCAGAACGATTCATCCTTCAGATTCAAATTCAAACTTGCTAGGTCTGGCCTTTGAAAGTCGGAGACATAGTGATACAGCTGGCAAGCGAGCTCATTTGGCTTGTACTATCATTGAAATCTGAAGGCTCAGTGAGTCAGGGACGTAAGCTTTGAAACCTGCACTTTGTGCATCGCTGATCGATGCAGGCTGCCAGATACAATGGCTCCCTTATGGCAGGAGCTGCCGTTCTTCAGCGTGCTTGTCAGTCTTATGAGCACAATTGCAGCACGCACGCTGGGCCAGCCTCTCCCCTTTGCACGCCGGTCGCATCAGATGGATACTGAGGACGATGATAGAGTTTACCTCATTGTTGGATTGTCCTCTTTGGACATTTCGGAGGATCTCCTTCCAATTGAGAAGGATATGACTGGCAAATTCTACATCAAGCCTTGCAGCCTGGCCTGGTGGAACTCCTTCTATCAGGATGTTGCGTCAGATGAAGCCAGATGGCATAAGTTGCTAAGGGTGAGCAGAGGAACTTTCCAAGAGCTAGAAGAGGAACTCAAAGAAGCTCTGGAAACTAACGTTCCCAAGTTTAGCTTCTCGAAGATCCCCAATCGAATCTTGACAGTAGACCGCCAGCTTGCTATGACTCTCCATCGCTTAGCAACGGGCAATTCTGCATTTACCATCAGTGAGCTCTTTGGTGTAAGCGAGCCTACGCTCTATCTCACAGTTAGGAAGGTCTGCAGTTCCATTTGGTACAAGCTCAAGCCTCAGCACGTCTTCCTGCCATCAACTCCAGCAGGCATGCAGAAGGTCATAGATGGGTTTGAGGAGAAAAGGGGGCTGCCAAACTGCTGTGGGGCAATTGATTGCACCCACTTCGTCCTTGAGCTGCCAAACAAGGAGACATCCACATGCTGGTTCGATCGAGACCACAACTACAGTATGATCATGCAAGGGCTGGTGGATGCAGACGGAAAGTTTTTAGACGTTTGCATTGGCTGGCCTGGAAGCACAAATGACTCAAGGGTCCTCAGGAATTCGGAGTTATGCCACAAGATCATCAATCAAGAGTGGCTACAGGGCCCCACTAAAAGGCTACGGGGGTGTGATGTTGGCCAGTACATTGTCGGAGACTCCGGCTTTCCAGCTTACAGCTGGCTAGTTGTTCCATATCCAGGGGACCATCTTCCTGAAGTCCGCGACCGCTTCAACTACTTCCACTCATCCACGAGAATTATTGTCGAATGCGCCTTTGGAAGGTTGAAGGGCATTTGGAGGATCCTGTTGCGGAGGATCTACAAGCCAGACATCAAGTTCCTCCCCATTACCATTGGGGCCTGCGTTGTGCTGCACAACATGATGCTGCAAAACGGGGACTACGTCAACGAGCGGTTGATCCCTTTGCCTGACGAGCCGGAGCCGGCGGGACCAAACGGAGGGCGCGGAAACCAAGATGCGGCGAGCGTGAGAGATGCTTTAGCAGAGTATCTCTTTTGGAATTGCTGATCTAAGGACACAGCAATCTTCCATCAAAACTGGTGTTTTATAACACCACCTTCAAAGGAACATTTTTCAACTCAATTGGAAAAGCCTCCTAGATCTTGCAAACCACAATTTGTAGCTGGCACTTTCAGGATACTGCCCATCATGCAATGTTTGACCGCATTAGGGATCATTAGGGATCCTCAGAGAAACCATTTTTAGAAGCCTTGTTTCCGTACAGTTTCTCAGAAGACAAATCGAGTCCGCAGGTGTCTCTGCAAAGCTGACGATTCGCCCAGCCAGAATGATCCGAATTGTCAAGTATTGCCATCTTCGAAGGGATGCCTTCTACTTCGTATTCTTATTCAGCTTTTAAGAGTTCGAGACTGAAGGTTCTTTTGCTAGCAAACCAAAAGTACAGCTCAAAACAGCTAATTCTCTTTACACATGACTATTTTGCATGAGATTTCAACAAAGCAGGGCCTGCAAGGTTAGTTACTCCAAGGAATCGACGAGGTAATCTACCTCAGGCTAGCTAAGGGGGCTTTCATGATACCGGCGGGCTTCC